TCTATTCTATTCTATTCTATTCTATTCTATTCTATTCTATTCTATTCCTTTTCACTCAGTGTGGCCCACACAAGCCAAAAGTTTGGACACTCATGGTCTAGATCAGAGGTGTCAAACTCAATTTCATTGAGGGCCGCATCAGGGCTGTGGTTTACCTTGGGGTGGGTTGGTCAGTGTAGCCAACTGGTTTGGTGTGGCCAACTGGGTGGGCATGGCCAGCTTGACACCACTCCCCAAATGCTGGCATGTGTCCTCTTCGCATTGGGTAGACTGGTCCGAAGCGATGCGGGCCAGCCCCTTACATTTTCCAGGACGTCCCTGAGGGCCAGATCCGACCATATTGCAGGCCAGATGTGGCCCGCAGGCTTTGTGTTTGATACCCCTGGTCTAGATTGTCTCTTATTCCCCACTTTTTAAAGACATCCAAAACTGATTATGTTTTCAGTCAAGTGGTCACAAGATCTTATTCTTTTTGCTTTAATTTGACATTAATAAAGAAGAAAAGAACAGATAATGATCTTAATTGTTCTTTGAGAATGATGCTTATTCAGACACAAAAAAGAAGATGCCTGTTAAAGGAATGCACTCTCTCATGTTTCAAAAAATATAGCAGTGGCATACTACACAAGAAATAGCAAACAAAATAAATCTGTTGGATATAGAAAGGCAGAAGAATATAAGCTATGCATTATTTCAGTGTCCAACTGAAAATTACATGTCCCATATCCAGTCTATGAAAAACCAGATGTCTGGTAGCATCTTCTCAGACTCACATGTTGTTTTAAATAGTCATAAGCTTCTTCATTGGATACATGAAGTGGCTAAACTGAAGTAGGATTTAAACTGGAATGAGGTGGCAAGGGAAAAAGCAGAAGTTATAAATTGGTAGTTATGCAGACACAAATTACAGGTTCCTTATACATTAAAATTTGAATTATGTTAAAAACCCATTGTGTTTGTTGAGTTGTTTTGAGATTAATATATGTGATAGCAATAGCACTTAGACATATATACTGCTTCAAGTGCTTTACAGTCCTCTCTGAGCAGTTTGCAGAGTCAGCATATTGTCCCCAACAATCTGGGTCCTCATTTTACTGACCTCAGAAGGTTGGAAGGCTGAGTCAACTTTTTAGCAGTCTTTTATTCAATTGTGCTTGTGAAGTTTCTTTGCTCCAGAATAGCTGTTTTATGGTCTGTTATAGAGTATATTGGCAGTTATTACTATGCCCCTTGTCTTGAGTCCAGATGTCAAACGTGTGCGTTCTTCTACAGAAAGTTTGCCCCACGGTTTACTACTTGACTCCAGAGGGTGTTAGCCTTGTGTGGTAATCCAGACAAGAAGCCTAATCAGGAGTACTATCTCTATCTTTATTGAAAGGTTATAGTAACGGAATCTTACCAGTCTGAAAATTGCATCCCATCCCTCACCTTTATTCAGTCCAAAATTAGACAGGGTTCTTCTGAGACACTTTCACTACCTGTCCTTCAGACTCAAATTTCACTTATCAGACTATTGTCTCGGCTGCATCTCTTCCTCCTGTCTTCCGAGATCATTCCCACCTTCCATTAAAGAGAGACAGTGCTGGCAGATAATGACATATCTCAAGTCAGAGGAAGTGTTTGTGAAGGTACCCTTAATGTGTGTGTGAAATTGTGAGGAATGTGACTGCACAGCTGATAAATCTGTAATACAGATATCCCCTGTATATCTACAGTGTCACTGAACCTATAAAGAAACCTTGAAGCAAAGAAAAAGCAACTTTTAGCTTTTGTGGCCTGAAATTCTTGAAACTCTACTGTTAATCTACCCCGGAATCCCTTCTTTGGTGATGTGGGCAGCTACTATATATAAATTTGAAAAATAAATAAATAAATAAACCCACACTTGAAAGGGCATCAGATTGAGGAAGGCTAGCGAACTGTTGCTAGCACTTTAAGTCTTGTTCAGGTTCATTTTTGCCATTTTTGATTATCTGTTTTCCAGATTTGGCCGCAGAAGAGTGGTCATTAAAAAAGGGCATGAAGCAACTGCCTTTTACTTCATTTATTATGGTACAGTCGCTATCACAGATGATGATGATGGTAGCAGTGCCTTTGTGGAAACAGCTCCAACTACAATTCAGAGGGGTGCTTCTTTTGGTGTGAGTGTGATCTGCAACTGTGGTTTTCAACTTTTCAGTATTAGCAAAGAAAATGGTTCTCTCCATAATAGAAACACATACATGCACACTTTTTTTCCACAAAAGAAATATCAATATAAGTTTCAAACTTTGATAAATTTTATGCTTCTAAGCATTCTCAATATATAAAAATTATACTATTGCTTTTCCAATTGAAGATGTTGCTCTTCGCAAGCATTGGGAAGTTTCAGCTTCAGAATCCAGCAGGTAACATCGCCAAGTTAGGTAACTTTCAAGGATATTGATAATCGGAAAATCTTGTTGAATACAAAGATAGGACAATGTAAAGTGTCCAGGGCCATAAAATCCTTGCCACAAAAATGATTTTTACTACATTTCAAAATCAAGGTGGCATACTATGAAGCCAGCTCCATCATCCTGGATCATCTGTATTCCCTAAAGTATTGTAGAATTCCAAATAGACTCAGGTATTACAGAATAAAAATGATGGTGGTTTCAGGAAGGCTTCTATTGATAGATTTACTCTGCTGTCTGGAAAAAGGGAAGGCAAAGCTGGGAAGAGCTTTTGTTTAGGAAATACGAAGGGAGGGGTAGACCAGTGAGGAGGATAAGAGAGAAGTTAAATAAAAGGAAAAGGATCAAGTATATAGTAGGAAAAGAAGACAAATAAACCATGACAATATTCGCTCTCCTTTATCTCTTGCTTATTAACAGGAAATTGCCCTTTTGCAAAAAACAAAAAGAATCGCCACTGTTGTCTGTATGGAGGAAACGGAATTGCTGGTGGTGGATAAAAAGGATTTTTTCGCCTATAAACTAGATAAGGAACTTCAACGGGAATTCAAAGTTCGCTATGACTATTTGAGGTATTCCTTATATCGCTCTTGTCCATTGTTTCTATAGTTTTGGCTTTGGTTCAATGAATCAGCCTTTATAGAAAGAACTCCGTAGATAAGGAGTGTTTCTTTTTCAATAAGACACCAAGCATTTTAATCTCACAGCAGCTTTTGATACCATTGACCATGGTATCCTTGTGAAATGGTTTTTGGGAGTTGGATCAAAATGCAGCCACTGTCATGGTTTTGTGCATGTCCAAATTTGCATAAGTGTCAATTCTTTTGCAGAAACCACCGATTGCCAATTTGCCTCTGGGTCAGAGGAGGTATTCAGCAGGCTCTGACCAGTTCTGGAGAACTGGGAGCAGAAATTTTGAGTAGTTCAGAGAACCAGCAAATACCACCTCTGACTGGAGATTTTACAGTATCCTTCCCCTGCCACGTCCACCAAACCATGCTCATAGAACAGGTAGTAAAAAAAATTGAATCCCACCCCTGCTCTGAGTGCAATTCAAAGTGCTAGTTATCAGTTTTAAAACTCTGCATTGTCTGCGGCCAGGTTATTTGATGGGCCACCTCTCCCAAATTACATCAACCCAGCCCATGAGAATAGGAAGGCAGAGTATCTTGCAGGTCCCAACAATCAAGGAACTACATCTGGTGGGACCTAGAAAAAGGGCCATCCTGAAGACAGTGAGGGACTGGCCTGTGCCGCGTCAACACTGAACCCACTGGGTGGGTGATTATGCCCACCCAGTCAGCCACAATGACCAGGCCATGCCCCATCCCAGCCCCGCAAGGGCAAATAAAATCCTGATAATGGCCGTACTGGGATTGAGTTTGACACATCTGCTATAGAGATAATATTAGCCCCTATCTTGTTGCTTTTTCACAAGGCTTTGAAAACATGGTTTTGCCAGCAGGTTTAGGGACCCCATTTGGAGCCAATCAAGTGGCTTGTTTGTTGATGCTTCCATGGGATAAAGTGGAGGTATAGATTGTGGATTTTTAACTGTAGATTTTTAATGTTGTATGCCTGCCAGAGTCAGTGTGTGTGAGTTGGAAACCTAAACAAACTTGTTTAATAAACAAATAAAATAACCTGCCTGTCCACCTGACAGTTATTGTACTTTGGCTGTTAAAGTGTGAACTGAGTGGAAGGATCATAGTTCCGCTTCTCCCTTAGGCATGAAGCCAGCTGGATGATTTGGGCCAATTACTCTCTCTCAGGCTGGGAATTCAGAAAACATGCATCTATCAAGTTTCACTGGATCAATGTGATAAATTAGACCCAATGATTATGGCCATGACCTGTAATAAATAGGCCTTTATCTAGCTGAGGATACATTTAGGATGATTTGGGCTTATATTTACAAAAATAAGCTATTATTACACTGCATCAGAATTTACAGCTAGTGTTCTGTATTAGCATACTCCAAACCCTGAATCTTGATTGGTCCACACGGACCGCAACCTGATTGGACAACTACACAGCCGTGATTGGCGCGCTAAGAATCTACCGCGATTGGTCAAACCGATCACGGGAGATTCAAAGCCCTGTCATTGGCCGCCGTGCCGCGAACAGCTCCTCTATGAAGGGCTGCCGCAAAGCGCAGGTCTTGTACAGAACTGTATACTGAATAAAGAGCTGAATGTTCACTTTTGGTCTCGCGTCTCTATGGGGACCGATCTACCCGATCTAACAGCTAGGGGTTTTTATCCTTATTTTTCCCATTTACAGAGAGTTAAACATTCAGCTCTTTCTGACCCAGCCTTTTATAATATTTCCCTTTAATTATTCTACCTTTATTTTATCATTTCTTTTTGGCTCATTCCATTTTATTAATGGGTGGAAAAAGAATCAGGTTGTTAAGCATTCACTATTTTTTTTCATTAATAAAGCAGCATTACAGAGATTGTCCATATTGCTGATCTCTATTTTTTGTTCAGGATTCTCATAAAAGAGGGGCCTTGAGAGGGGACTTTTGCAGCAGCAGACATTCATTTGTGCTTTCATGATATCTTCCTTATCAAATTGCCTGAAGCAAATTGCTTTGGTATATTTATCAACTCAGCTACATCATTGCCTATCCCCAGAACATCCAGGCAGCCACTTCTGGAAGGCAGAAGCTTCACCCTCTCTGAATCTTACCTTCTGCAGTACACACTCCCCAATTATATTGTCTCAAGCATTTCTGCCCATTTGGGCGAAAGCATTTTAGGTTATTGCAAGCTACCCTTCACAGTTCACGGCTTCTTCGCAGAGGTAGGAATACACCTGAAATTTAGCTCCAGGGCCTTTTAGACCTTCCCTTTACCTTGCCTGTAGCTTTTGCATAACAATAAGGAAACTTCAATCCAAAAAGAGATCACTCTGGCGGAAAAACAAATCTGGTCACGTTGCCAATTTCAAAAGCCGATACAAAAATTTATGCCACCAGATAAAGACCGAATGCACCAATTATCACATTAAACAAGAGGAAAACCTTCTAAGCACCAATTCCACCCGTGCTTTTTACAATTTTGTAAACAACAAACTAAAAGACTCAAGGTCCATTCCACCCTTGATAGGACCTGATGGTAAAGACTGCAACGACGACACCATTAAAGCCAACCTCTTTAACATATTCTTCGGCTCAGTATTTGTAAACAGCAATGGATCATGCCCAGTATTTCCTAGCCGTACCACAGATAACAACAATGATCTAATACATATCGATTTTACAGAAGACCATGTTGAAAAAGCACTACGCAATCTAAAACCATCTCTATCTATTGGACCGGATGGAATATGTGCCTACTTCTTAAAAAAGCTATCCACTGCCATAGCCAAACCTCTAAGCATAATCTTTGAAAAATCTTTCAGGACCAGCTCCTTGCCTAACCTATGGTCACAAGCCACAGTCATCCCCATCTTCAAAAAGGGAGACCCAAGCCTAGTTGAAAATTACAGGCCAATCTCCTTATGCTGCGTCACCTGTAAAGTCATGGAATCAATTATTAATCAATCCATCATCCTCCACTTAGAGACAAACAACCTACTCTCCAATAAACAATTTGGTTTCAGAAAAAAACTATCCTGTAATCTGCAACTCTTACACTGCAAAAACATATGGACGACACAACTCGACCAGGGCAAAGCAATAGACGCAATCTACATAGACTTCTGTAAAGCAGAAGTGGTACACGACAAACTACTCCTAAAAATAAAATCCTATGGTATCTCTGGACAACTGCATAACTGGATAGAAGCATTCCTGGCAAACAGACAACAAATGGTCAAAATTGGGAGCGTCCTATCAAATTCTGTACCTGTCAATAGTGGTGTCCCCCAAGGCAGTGTTCTAGGACCAACTCTCTTCATACTCTACATAAATGACCTCTGTGATCATATTAAGAGCAATTGCGTTCTTTTCGCTGATGATGTAAAGCTGTTCAATACCACAGACAATACTGCTACCCTACAAAATGATCTTGACTATGTATCAGAATGGTCAAACAAATGGCAACTTCAAATCTCAACAAATAAATGCTCTGTCTTACATATTGGCAAAAAAAATCAGAAAATAAAATACAAGCTGAATAGTCAAGATCTTGTTGATGACCCAAGCTCTGTAAAGGACCTTGGAATACTCACCTCTAATGATCTAAGTGCTAGAGCCCACTGTAACTACATAGCCAAAAAGGCATTAAGAGTTGTTAACCTAATCCTACGTAGCTTTTTCTCTGGTAATATCACACTACTAACCAGAGCATACAAAACATTTGCTAGACCAATACTCGAATACAGTTCATCAGTCTGGAACCCACATTACATATCTGATATTAGCACAATTGAGAAAGTCCAGAAATATTTCACAAGAAGAGTTCTCCACTCCTCTACTCGTTGTAGAATACCTTATGCCACCAGACTTGAAATTCTAGAACTAGAAAACCTTGAATTACGCCATCTTCGGTCTGATTTAAGCATGGTATATAAAATCATACATTGCAATGTCCTACCTGTCAATGAATACTTCAGCTTCAACCATAACAACACAAGATACACACAATAGATACAAACTCAAAGTTAACCGCACACAATAGATACAAACTCAAAGTTAACCGCACCAAACTTGATTGCAGGAAATACGACTTCAGCAATAGAGTGGTCAATGTCTGGAATACTCTACCCGACTCTGTAGTTTCTTCCCCAAACCCCAAAAACTTTAACCTTAGACTGTCTACTATTGACCTCACCCCTTTCCTAAGAGGTCTGTAGGGGGCGTGCATAAGCACACCAACGTGCCTACCGTCCCTGTCCTATTGTTTCTCTTATTCTTTTATTTTTCTTATATGTACCCATTTCATGTATTCACAACTATGTATACACTTATACTTATTATCTTGTAAACAATTGGCAAATCAAATAAATAAATAAAAATAAATAAATAAATCAAACATTGCTGATTTGAAATTGTCAGGAAACACAATTTCCAAAACCTTGGAGAAAAATTGTTTTCAGCCCTATAGGTGGACCAGATCAGAGAATGGATCCCACAGACAAGGCCAGAATTCTGCTTTATTGAGATAGGTGCTAGTAGCAGAAACTTGCCTATGTTTTCCCTGCTATCTCTTTTATGCTCCAGAGTCAAAGGTAGGCCAGCCTGGGTCTCGTCTTGTCTTGAGAGCTTAACACAAGCTACTTCTGCATCTGTTGTTTTCTTAACACTTGCTGGATGGTTTCTTCAAAGTCATCTCCAGGGGTCCCTACAGAAACCTGGCAGAAACTATTTGAATTTTTCTTCTTCCTGGGTTCCATTTCTCTCCCCCTCCTCCTCTTTGTCACTTGTTGTTGCTGTTAACTTGGGAACAAGAGGAAACAGTAGCAGCACCAGTGATATGTATTATTTAGAGCTTAAGCATCTGTTCCACACTTCATCATTTTCATTTTTCCAGAATACAGACAGTATGCACATATATACATAGGATATTTCAGAGAAATTAAATGGTGGGTTGTCTGTTGAGCTGCATCAAGCCAACAAAATAACAAGTCTGTTTCAGGTGCTAGACTTAGAAACAAGTGATTATTGGGTTTCTTTGCCTGTGTTCTCCTTTATCTTTAATGAAATTCCTTACATAGTGGAATAAACATGAATTTAGAGGTGAATATCTCTGAACCATAACTGAATGCTTTGATCTGTAGTTAGCCAAAAAAATTTCAATTTGTAGTTACACAGTTGATGAGAATAGCCACTTTTTTTTTTCTATTTTCAGGGCTATAGATCTTTTTCAAACACTGCCTGATTCTTCAATAGATAAAATAGCTAATTACTGCAAAGTTGAGAGATTCTATTGTGGACAGGTGATTACCACTGACCTTGCAGAAACCCACAGTATGGTATTTATTACCAAGGTGAGATTTACTTTAGTTTCATGTTTTATAGTAAAGCTTGCACCATTTTCTTTCTACTAGTTACAGTGTTTTTTAATCTACAAATTCAAAAATGGGTGGATTTGCACACTGCATCAAGTCAGCAGTCCCTAACTCAAAATCTATGAACCTATGATCTATGCAACATTCAGGGTATTTCAGTGATGTTGTATATGGAACACCAAAATCTAGTAAAGTTTTGCAGTCTCTTGAGAAGTATCCATTAAAAATAGGTCTATGCCAAACCAAGGGAATCCATTAGTACAGACTACCGGTGGTCCCTGGATCATTGGTATCTATTTTTGGCCACCATGATGTTAAAATGATGACATACATGTCATAATATCATCACACAAATAACAGAATTATGTAATTTGCATTACTTGTACCATGTTGGACTAAATACATAAGTTGTACCTCCACCTATGTTTCATAAAGGATGATGTCTTGACTCCTATGCCACCATTCACCTGCATTCCTCTGTACACATCTATGACTTGGCTTCTTCCAAACTTCCAAATTAGCTTGGAAGGTCCCTTGATGATGTTAGGAATGGTTGAGATATCTTTGCATAATAGCCTGTTTTAGCCTGAGAACCTTTGATTTCACCTCACCAGCCTCAGCCTATATAAGGGGTGTCAAACTCGCAATAACACATTGTCGTCACATGACATATAGCAACTTTTCCCACCTTCGCTAAACTGGGGGTGGGCGTGGCTAGCATGTGACGCCTCTGGCCTGCAGGCTGCGAGTTTGACACCCCTGGCCTATACATTTATACTTAGCTTGTAGTCTGCAGCAGTGGGATTATGCTGTTGAGGAAGAACTCTACAGCCGAACATGATACGTGAAGATTGTCCTTTGTCTGAAAATGTCCTCTGATTAAGACACTCCCCAGTCCATACCTGATTTAAAGGAAAATATCTATGGGATAGAATATCCAGAATTTAAATGATTTTTCTCTTTAACAATTAACACGTGGACAGTAGAATTAGCAGGCAAAAGGTATCAATTCTTATGCTAGTATGTCTATTTTCTTCTTTCTCATAGCAAATGTAATATTTATGGAAATCCATGTCTTTTTTTTCACACTTGTTCTAAGTGACCTGTTTCCCTCTATATTGGAAATAAATACATGGCAATTCTCTGAAAGGCCCTTTTGGGCATCTGATTTAATCAACCCTGTTGAATGGGTTCTTGTCAATCAACAGGTTCTGACCTCAATAAACATCTGTGAAGGACAGATGTTCTTTGTAATCTGGACATGGACAGATACTACAACCTTGTACTAAAGATGGAAAGGATTTTGGTTATGGTTTGCACTCCGAGCTTGCTGTTTAGCTCATGAACATTTCATTACCAGGCTAGGTAACATCATCAGTGGGACTTTGAAGTGTCTTGTTTCATTTCTCTTCAACTTAAATAGGTCTTTGTGTGGTGGAATAATGTCAGCTGGTGCTCCATTTAAAATCCAAGAAAGAAAAACTTAGACTCTTGTAATTAGAGAAAAGATATATTTTACTGGAAGTCAAGTGGTAGCAACAAGACAATTCTGAATCTGAGGAAATAGGCACGTACATCACATATATCAAGGGACGGAAATGTTCCCACCCCCAATAGTTCAAATGGTTCTTCCAATTAAAAGTTGTGAACCTCATCATGTGGACAGCTTCAGGTGGTGATGATTAGTTGACCGTGGCATACTCTGATAAGGGTTTGCAGCTGCGCAGAGAAGAGAAAGCTAAGCAAGAAATAGAAACCCTCCTCAGTTCATACACTATTACTTAGTAACACTTCCCATACTTGTCCCCCTTCCTCCCCCCGTTACTCATGACAGCCAGAAAGAAGCAAAGCAAAGGAAGAAGATCTTGAAGGCTGACATTCGGCCCTCCTAGAAAAAAGACGTTAGTCCTATAAAAGAGGGAAATATAAAAGGCACGAATTAATAACCAGTTAACATAAAAGAGACACGTATCTAGGGTTTATCAGGATAATTAGAACGAAATGCTCTGACAAGCTTAGGGGCTCTAACATCTTTTTCATTGACCCACTCAGCCTGGGAAGAAGGGAAATGCTTCCAAGCAACCAAATATTGGAGCTGACCCCTCCATCTTTGAGAGTCTAGAATTTCTTTAACTTCAAAATGTTGTTTGCCGTCAATAAGCAATGTTACAGGAGGGTCGGTCTGGGTCAGTCTCAGATCGGAAGTATGTTCAGGTTTTAACAAACTAACATGGAAAACCGGGTGAATTCGTCGAAGGCTTTTAGGTAATTTCAATTGGACCGTCACAGGGTTTACAATTTGTTCAATCGAGAAAGGACCAACATACTTAGGACCAAGCTTCTTTGACTTTTGAGTGGTGTGTAGATATCTGGTGGACAAAAAGACTTTATCGCCCACTTGATATGGTTTTTGTGGAGTCCTCTTTTTGTCTGCAAATTTCTTATGGGCCTGATGTGCATCATGCAATGCTTTACGAGCGACTGGCCAATTAAGCTGGAGTTGTGTTATCCATTCATCCAAAGACTAAAAACTTTAAAAACGCCCATAGTCTTTTGCCAATTGGATGGATCAGTGGCGGGGGGCGGGCCTGCACGTTTCATAACGGAACCCATGGAAATGACAATCGGGAAGCATAGAGAGACTGTGTTTTATTGTGGCCCCTGGGATGGAACAGCCGCTAATACTGGGATTTCCCTGGCTCCGGAAATGGAACCCCCATGTCAATTGGAGAAGAGGGTCATTGCGTATACGTACCGACCAGCGCCCAGAAGGGGAGGGGCGATCTCAACCAAAACTCCAGAATCCTATTGACTTAGCTTCCACAGGTACCGAGGAACTGAAGGGGGAGGAGAAAATTCCAGAGGAATATTGGGACTTAAAGGAAGTATTCAGTGAGAAGGCCTCAGATGAACTTCCCCCTCATCGTTCAACAGGTTGTGGTATTGAAATTTTACCTGGGGTGAAACTCCCAAAACCGAAGCTGTACTCGATGACACCGCGGGAATTAGAAGAGCTGTGGTCATTTATCGATAAAAATTTGGAACGTGGTTTCATCCAGCCCACTGGACCCCGGATAGTGGCCCCAGTATTGTTCCGTGAAAAGAAAGATGGCTCCCTTCGCTTATGTGTTGATTACAGAAACCTGAATGCCATTTCCATGGAAAATGTGTACCCCCTCGCCCTGATGAAGGACATGCTGGCCCACCTGGCCAAGGGGAAGATTTTTACGAAGCTCGACTTGAGAGAAGCGCACTACCAGGTTCAAATTAAGGAAGGGGATGAATGGAAATAGAAACCCTCCTCAGTTCATACAATATTAGTAACACTTCCCATACTTGTCCCCCTTCCTCCCCCCATTACTCATGACTGCCAGAAAGAAGCAAAGCAAAGGAAGAAGATCTTGAAGGCTGACATTTGGTCAGTTGGTCATGTAACTGGTTGGTCGCGTGGTGTGAAAGTCAACTGTTAAGGGGGTGGTCAGCTCTGTCATTGATTGGTCGTTCTGATGGTGTAGTGATTCCCAAACGGTTTCAATCCACCGCCCCCTTGGTGCTACAAAGTCATCCTCAGTGCCCCCCACCCAGGGGTGGGATTCAAATTTCTTAACAACCAATTCTGTGGGCATGGCCTAATTTGTGGGTATGGCTTGGTCATATGACCAGGTGGGTGTGGTTTGGTGACCATGTGATTGGGTGGGCGTGGCCAGGTGGCCATGTGACTGGCAAACAAAATACAAGTGGTCCTCGCTTAATGGCTGGTTGCTTAGCAACTGTTCTAATTTATGACTGACCTCCCCAAAGCTACTTGGCCTGTTTTTGGAGTTTTGACAGTCATGTGCGCACACACACACACGCACACACACTTCTAACCCTGCTGGAGCAGGTAGTTGGACCTTTCTCCTTCCTTCCTTCCTTCTTTCTTTTTCTTTCTGTCCCTTCCTTCTATCCCTCTCTTTCTTTGTCTATCCCTTTTCTTCCTTTCTCTCTCCCTTTTTCTTTCCCTTTTCTCTTTCTTTTCTTTCTTCCTTCTCTCTCTCCCTCTTTTTCTCTCTCTCCCTCCCTCCATATCGCATTCTTTTTCCTCCCTCTTTTTTCTCTCTTTCCCTCTCTCTTTCTCTCTCTCTCTCTCTTTCTTTCTCTCCCTCCTTTCCACCCCCCTTTCTTTGTCTATCCCTTTGCTTCCTTCCTTTCTGTCTCCTTTTTCCTTTCTTTACTTTTTTGTCTGTTCCTTCTCTTTTTCCCTCCCTTTCTCTCTTTCCCTCTCTCTTTCTTTTCTCTCTCTCTCTCTCCCCCTCTCTCTTTCCCCCCTCTCTCTTTCTATCCCTTCCTTCCATCCCACCTTGTCTATCCCTTTTTTCCTTCCTCTTCCTTTCTGTCTCCCTTTTTCTTTCTTTACTTTCTTGTCTGTTCCTTCTCTCTTTCTCTCTCTTTCCCTCTCTCTCTTTCCCTCACCCTCTATCCCTTCCCTAACCTATCTACCTATTTTCTGCCCAGGCAGGCATGGTAATCTGTCAAAGGTCTGGGCTAATCCTGCATCACCCCGTTTCCCTTTTCAGAGGCCCCAGCCTTTAATCTCCCCGTTCCTTCCCCCACAACTGTCTCTTTCGTTGTCTTTCGTCATCCCACAGGTGTGACTTTCTCTTCCTCCTGCGGCTGGCTGCCAGGGAAGGCAAGCCAGGGCTGAGCCATTGTAATTGCCCTTGTCACAAATGCCTGTAGCAGCCGCGTGTTTTTTTCAGTGCGGCTGGACTGCAGGTGCACCGAAAAAAACATTCAGCGGCTGAAGGTTTTTTGCAGTGAAAATTACCAACCTCTGGCTTTGCTCTGCTTCTCCAACGTGCCGCTGCGGCTGCATTCTAGGCACCGGCCCCACAGGTCCACCCCATTGGGCCTGTTGCACCGGAGGGACTTGCCCAAGCAAGTCCGAGCGGAGTGGTGCAGCAGTCAATGGGGTGAGCCTGCATAGCTGGTGCCTAGAATGCAGCCGCGGTGGCACATTGGAGAAGCAGAGCGAAGCTGGAGGTCGTAATTTTCACTGCAAAAATCCTCCAGCCATCACATGTTTTTTTTGGTGCGCCTAGAGTCCAGCTGCACCGAAAAAAAGACACAGCATCTGGAGTATTTGCAGAGAAAATTACTGACCTCCAGCTTTGCTTGCTCCGCTTCTCCAATGTGCCATTGTGGCCCTCAGTGATTCCACGCAACGTCATGCATGCCCAATAAGGACTGACTGGGCAGGGAATTGAGGAATTGGGGGAAAGGAGTGGGGCCAGCCTGGGGCCCGTTTTACTGGTTCTCCAAACTACCGGGAATGGTAATGAACCAGTAGAATCCCACCCTTGAATTGCGCCTTGCAAGTGGCCCACCTCCAGCACTCCTCTGCTGCCCCCTTGCCTCTTAGCGCCCCCCTAAGTCATCCCACCTCCCCCAGGGGGCAGTATCGCCCACTTTGGGAACCACTGGTCTAGTTTCTTATAGGTTTATATGCTGGTTCCAAAATTTGAATTTGGACAATCTAGAACTACGCCGCCTATGGTTTGACTTAAGCATAGTTAATAAAATAATCTGCTTTAATGTACTACCAATCAATGACTTTCTCACCTTCAACTGCAACAATACAAGAGCACACAATAGATATAAACTTAATGTACACCACTCCAAACTTGATTGCAGAAAGTACGACTTCAGCAACAGAGTGATCAATGCCTGGAACACATTACCTGACTCTGTTGTCACATCCCCAAACCTACACTCCTTTTCCCTTAAACTAACCACTATTGACCTCACCCTCTTTCTAAGAGGTATGTAAGGGACGTGCATAAGTGCACAACTGTGCCTACCGTCCCTGTCCTATTGTCCCCAATTATTTGTACCCATTTCCTGTGTTTATTCTTATGTTTATTATCTTGTAAGCTATTGACAAATAAATAAATAAAATCCATATGTTCATAGATTGAAGCATTTGTAGAATGCCAGACTTTGGCAAATTGGTGTGCATGGCGAGTGTTGGCATGGCCAATTATTTTCATTCCGCTCCAGTCTCACTGGTGTTCAGTGTCGATATAAGTCGAGATCAGTGATTTTTGGTCATGTTACTCAGCCTCTAGCCAATGTTGATGAATCCTTTTTTTAGCTGGACATTGAACTGGTTACAATTGTTACAACTGATTTTGTATATTATGTTGCTGATGTCTTCCTTCTGTATTTTGTTTTTGATCTTAGATAGCTATTGTCAGAGCATGGACGTGGGTTTGTGAGACACTATTATTCCCAGGAGTTGTAGAATCTTGACAGCCATTTCTGATATTTCTTTGATGGGACTTGTTTCCATGTTGCAGTTGGCTGAGTGGTGCATAGGAGTTATGATATGCATTGGAGTATGAAGTTTTTGGGATAGCTATTGCAAAGGGAGACATTGGAAAGGTGTTTCTCTCTGCTTTTCTCAGCTACTTGGTGCTTCAGTGAGTCTTGGCTCTTCTGAAGAGGGCCTCGATGCAGCTCCTCTTGTGTGTAATAAGGTGGTTGCTTGCAAAACTAAGAATCTGGTTTATGTATGTAAATTATCAGTATACGAAAGGAGCTGGAGTGAATGATGGGAGCTTATCTCACCATGCAGCGGCACTCAGGTCTCGAAAGAGGGCTTGCTAACTTCCAATGCAGTGTCTTAACTATGTGAGCCACCATGCTCCCACCAAATCACTATCTCAGGGCAAGAAACAGTGCCAGAATTTGAAGAACTAGATCTCCAGTGTTCACCCCACATTATTCAGCCATTTCTGCTGTCCAAATAGTTTTGGGCCTGAGCCAAATTTCATTCACCAAAACCTTTTGCTCAGCTGAGCCAATATCTATGTTTAAATCCGTACTTGAAAAAAAATCAACAATTAAAATACTCTAGATATTATGAATGTTGTTTTATAAGAAATACTTTAGCCTTACTACTTCATGAGCACAGTAGGTCTCTTCTAAGATAATGTTTCTGTGATACATATAATTGTAGTACTGTATACCTTTTATTCCAAAACAATCATTTTAGTCAAAAGCAAGTATATGTAGGGGTGAGATTCTACTGGTTCGGCCCAGTTCTATAGAACCGGTAGCTCCGAAGAGCAGCTGACACCGTACCAGTTATCTCTGAAGATCTTCTTTTCTTTGGTTGGGCCCACCCACCTGCCCAGGCTCTAGGCTGTCCTTTATTCTTACCTTAGTTGCTTTGCGCGGCACAGTTGAGTGCCATGTGTCAACAGGAGATGGTGATTGCTTGCAGGAAAGTTGTTTTGCCAGTACTGCACATGTGCACGCAACACACGCTCACCAAACCGATTGTTATGCCAGTAGGATCCCACCCCTGAGTATATGCTGACTTAATCAATTCATTCTCAGGTGAGTAACAGCTTCCAAATCATACAAACACTTTTGTAATGAAATACAAACTGAACAACTTCCAAGTCTTTTCCCAGGATTGCAGTTTGGTCCCCTTTGCCCTTAATTATCTTTAATTTTTAAAATTCCCTTTTCTGTCTGAAAATGAAAGAAAAATATAGAGATGAGCACTGGTCCTACCATTAAGTAAAATGAGATGATTGTCTTAGATGGCAGAACATAACAAATACATACCATTTTACCTTCTCAACTATTTTATTGGGTTTGGGTGTGACAGACAATGATATCCTATTATCAGTGCTGACCTTTAAATCAAGCATTTTGCTGCCAGTGGAGCAAAGCTAATACTTCATGCAGAAAAATATTGTAGTTGAGAAGTGGTATTCTATTGAACCTTTCAGTAAGAAGCAATATTGCTGCTCTTAGAAGTTACCAAATACAAGCAAAAACCAAAACAATTTATTAGCCAGCTAGGACCAAGTTATTGAAGGTATTTTCCCTCCACTTCTGAGTACCTCAAGAATGTTACCACCTGAAGTAAAGGTTTAAAAACTGCAGCTGTTTGAGAGGTGGAGAGAGGGATAAAAGTAAAATAGATGCTTTAGGCCAATTACTTATAGTGTTATTATAGTTATTTTAGCTCTTAGTTAAGCATAAATATTTATTAGATGTTGTTTTAAAAAAATGACTGCCCTGTCCATGGTAAGTCATTGCTGAATTTAGGTGCTCTTAGAAAGCTCCATGAATGTCATGGGATGTACAAATAACCTTGAAGAACAGGAGATAGAGCAGCCAAGGAAACCCTCAGATAAGAGAAATGTAATTTGAGCAAGCATTCAGAGTTGACCCTTCCTAGTTCTCTTTAGTATAAAGTTGGATGGGGGTGAGTCACTTTCAGACTTGCAAGATTCTGTTACTGTAACCCACTGCTTTACCTTGGACTGTCAATAAACCCCCATACAGAGTCTTGGCTCATATATAGACTCTGTACCATTTTGTTAATTACTGGTTTTAATAGTGATTTTAAAACTCTGATAATTTAGGTGAACAAATTTCTTGATATTACAAGCTGCCTACATTTTGAGATCATATTTGTTCATTCATTCACCTCACAGACCTCCATTCAACAAAACAACTTTTTGTTTTGGTTTTGTTTCATCAGGGCATTTGTGAAGTATTGCGACTTGTTAACCTCAGCACTTGTCCATCTTATCAAAAATGGATCATTAAACAGCTGCATTTTCCCAAAAACAAAATATCCACAAAAGAAAGGTACCATATGAATTCTGGTATGTTACATGTTGACTTCTTTAAAGGTGTAATACTTGTAAATACAACATATGCTAATGGTATTGGTCTTACAGTCCTAAGAATTAGTTTTTTGTGGGAAAAATATTTAAGGCAAAAATACTTGATTGGAAGGTAGAAAGAAAATATCCAGGTAGTCTTTGGGTTATGACCAGTTTTTCAATGACTGTTCAAAATTATAACAGTGCTGAATAAGGGGAGCTTGCAAAGAGTCCTTAGAATTCCTTAGCATTCCTGAAGTCATATGATCATGATCAAGCTTCTTTCTGCCCAGCTTATAATCACATTTCAGCAAGCCATGGTCATGTGACTGCAATTTTGGAGATTTTGGAATTGCCATGGCTAAGCAATATGATCATATGACGTTATACTTTATGACTGCATTGCTTGGTTTCCAGTCTCAATTACCATCATAATTGAGGATTCCCTTAATCTTTTTTAGTTTGGTTTTTTTATTGATGATGTGTTGTGTATATCAACGTATACACACCAACACAAATCATTTTTATTATGCAACTATATATTTACCTCAGTGTTAAATTATTTTTCCCAATTTAATTTGCAAGTGGGAATCTAAAAATATTAGACATTAAAAATTTAAGTTTTGATTATGATAAAAAGCAGACATTATGTCATACTATTCTACCAAGTTATATTTTCCTTTGCTAGTCTTTGCATGAAATGCTTTTCAGGAAAGCATGTAATCCAACAATTTAGTTTAAATTTCTTTGGAACATTCTGGTGCAATTCTAGAGAAACCTGTTTCTATAAAATAGTCATTGATAGAGAGAAAAGGGGCATTGGTCTTACCTGATACACTCCTTTTTGGTGTGCTGAGAGAGAATCCAAGAATGGGTTAATTCTGTCTCGGGAAGAGGAGAAAAGGCATCCAGCAGTCCTTGGGGTCACGGACTGTGGAGTGCATTGACCCCTTCTGCCCTGGTGTAGAACCTGGGTAGCTGGCTGTTTGACAGGGTGGCAAACAGGTCCAGGACTGAGGGCCCGAACCATTCTGACAGCTCCCTGAATAAGTCTGGATGCAGGTGCCACTCTGAATGGTTGACTGTGGTTCTGCTGAGCCAATCCACCTGTACATTTGGTGTCCCCGAGATGTGTTCCACCCTGATGGAAAGAAGATGCTTCTCTGCCCAGAGGCCCAATTGTTTGGCTTCTCACATGAGGGACCTGGAATGGGTACACCCCTGGTGTATGGGCCTTGGTGGCTATATTGTCCAGCAGAATGAGGATGTGATGGTTCAAGATCGAGTCCTGGAACTCTGAGTGCCAACTGGGCTGCTCTGAGCTCCAGCCAGTTGATGTTCGCCAGGTCTTCCAGTCCCCACTGCCTCTATGCCATCTGGGACTGGAAGTGGGCACCCCAGCCAAAGAGGTTGGTGTCTGTGGTGATGGTCAGGTGTCTGGGCTCCTTGAAGGCACATCCCCTGGTTATGGCCCAAGACACCCACCAATGAAAGAATTGAAGTACCTTTGGTGGGACCTGAACCTTGGCCATTGAGTTGCTCCTGCTGGACCTTTGGTAAGGCAGGAGAAACCATTGTAAGGTCCTGGCTTGCAGGCATGCCCAGGGGACAATTGAGATGCAGAATACCATCTTGCCTAAGAGTTGCAAGAGGAGGGCCAGTGGGACTGTTTGGTCCACACGGATATTGTTATGTATTAATATACTTACCTGCGATTGGTCGGTCCGTGGCAGCAGGAAATAAAGACAAATGGCACGTAGACCAGCTCAGATCTAGAGTTACGAAGGGTGACCCAATCCAACCCACAGAAGAGGAGGGAGACCCCTCAAACAAATCCAGGGAAGAAGGGGGAGACCCTTCAAACATGACCATAGGGGAGGGGGTGACCCCTCAAACAAGCAAAACACAACCAGAGAAGAGGGGGGAGACCCCTCAAACAGACAAAACACAAGTAGAAAGGGAGGGGGAGACCCTCCATGAACAAGAGAAACAACAGAACAAACCCTGATAACTACACAACAACCACTACTAACATTAGCCCCGGTCGGGAAACGCAAACACGTATCAGACCAGGGAAAAAGGCAGGTTGGGGAGACAGGAACAGGTCCAGAAGGATAGCGGGAAAGCAGCCCCTGGTGGGAGCGGCCAAGCCAACTCAACCAGCCAGGAAATTCCTGGCGGGAGCGGCATGGCCAACTCAACCTTCCAAGAGGTTCCAAGAAGACGGACAGGAGGAACAACAGATCCGTCCGAGCAGTCCAGAGGCCAAACTGTGACTGAGCTGTGCAGGTCCAGTCGAACCCATAAAAGCCCCACCTACCTACGTGATTATGTACTGTAGGCAAGGCTCAGATTGGTTGAACCAGACCAGGTGGGGAGGGGTGTTATGTATTAACATACTTAACTGTTTTTGGACGGTCCATGGCGGCGTGAAATTTGAAGAGCCATCACTGGCCACAGCCGCGAGCAGCCCGACTGTAAAAGTGCTGCCGCGGTTTCTTCAGCGCTCAGTCCTAGAAGGCAGTAAAGACAATTGATGATCATGCTGGTGTCCTGAGTCTCATTCCCGCGATCTAACAGATATGATTCGCCAAGGCCTTTATGCTGTCCTGCCACTCCTGAGATAGGTAAACCTTGCATGATGAGGTATCTATGACTGCCCCCAGGTGCAGTAATTGGGTGGTAGGAGCCAGGTGGCTCTTCTCAAAATGGAGAATCCATGGTCTTGAAGGACCTGGATTGTGACTTTCAGTTCCTCTGCTGCCCAAAGGTGGGAGGAGGACTGTATCAATATATCATCCAGGTAACATTGGACACGAATGAGTAATGCCCTGAGGTGTGCCACCAGTGCCGCCAGTATTTTGGTGAAAGTTCTGGGTGCTGAGGACAGTCCAAAGGGTAGGGCCTTGTACTGATAGTGATGGCCCGCATAGTAGAAGTGTAGGAACCGCCAGTGGGATGGCAGGATAGGCACGTGGAAGTATGCCTCTGTCAGGTCTATGGATGTAAGGAAGTCTCCTTCTCAGATGCTCCCCAGTATGGACTAGAGGGACTGCATCTTGAATCACCTGTAAGTCAGATGGTTGTTTTAGTCTTTTCAGGTCCACAATTGCTCTCCACTCCCCCCCCCCCCCGAGGACTTTGGGATTACAAAATAGGATGGAGTAGAATCCCTGCCCCTGTTGGTCCTCTGGGACCGGTTGGATAGCTTGAATGTCCAAGAAGTGCTGGATTGCAGTCTCCCTGAGGCCTCTCTTTGTGTTGTCTTTTGAGATGGGGCAATGAATGGAGAACCTCGGAGGTGTGAAAGGAATTCGAGGGTGAGACCTGATCTCACCATCTCCCAGACCCATGTGCCTGTTGTAGTTTCCTCCCATTGATCGGCAAAGAGGCTTAGGGGGCCACCAATGGGAGCGTTGGACATGCAGTCATTTGGAGCAGCAAAAGGGACGACTTCCGCCACCACGAAATCGCCATTTGGCCTGGAATTGCTGCCTGTTCCTATCTCTGTACCCAGATCTATCGGGCTGGTGATTATGTCTTTGAAAGTAAGCCCTCTGTGGAAAGCCAGATCTGTTTTAAATGAGGGCCTATAAAAATAAGGCGAGGGGCAGCTTTCAGCTCGCCTGAATAGGGATGGTAGTATCTTCCTCTTGTCCCTTGTCTCCACCAGAATGGGGTCCAAGAACTCCCCAAACAGTTTGTCTCCCTTGAAGGGAGCAGAGGCTATCTTCCATTTGTGTTTTGTGTCTGGCTGCCAGTGCCGGCGCCACAGCAGGTGGCGGACTGTCACCAATGATGCGATGACCCTGGAAGCAAACTTTGCAGCATTCAGAGTGGTATCAGCCAAGAATTCTGTGGCCGCTGCAAGTTTATGTCCTGGTGAGTGCAGAGGTCACCAGATTCTATCTTGCATCTGCTGAAGCCAGAACAATGAGAGGTGTCCGTAGCCACCTTGACTGCCCAAGCAGACGTCTGATGGGCATTATGGAGTGTCAGCTCTGCCTTCCTGTCTGCTTTTAGGACATTCTCTGTGTCAGTAGGCATGACAGAGAAGGATGCCAAGACCACCACCAGCCCATCTACTGCTGGTATTTGCAGTGCCTCAGTGAGTTCCGGGGCCACGTTATAAAACGTCTTGTCGCCCCCACTCGGTTTGGGATATGTCCCTGGTGAGACCCATTGCCGCTGGTCCACACCCAGAAATAATTTTGGTAAGGGAATCACTTCAGCCTCTGTGGGCAGTTCTGAAAAAAGTAATTTGCTTGGGTCAGCTAAATCCAAGGTTGGATCTGGGGTAGCTGAATCTGCTCCCAAGCAAGCTGTATTCTTGGCCTTCAAAGGAGAGATTTGAACAAAGTAGGGTGAAAAAGGTCTGTGAAAGCCGGGTGGTCCAGGGCTATTCCTTCCTTTTCAGAAAGTTCCAGTTCTTTCTGCCCCTCCTCGTCATAGAGTGATGATCAACTCTGCATGGAGGGTGTGGGAGAATAAGGCCCCTGGAGGGCCTTGAAATCCCTTGGAACCTGGGTTGGCTGATGCTGCCCTTGGTGCAGGGAGAAATCAGACGCCACGGGGGCTACTTGCTAGCTTTGCTGCAAGCCTGCAGCAATCCCTTGTTTAATGGCTTCTGAAATCAAAAACTTCATATTAGAGGGAATTTCAGGTTTTTGGCTGTCCCCTGGGTGGAGCCCTGCCATTGTGGGGGTAAAGGTGGCCTCTGGGGTAGGTCTCACCCTTCTCAAAAGCTGTTCCCAATGTCCTGTTGCTGGAAGCAGATTTGAACAGGATTGAAACAGGCCTCATTGCTGTCAGGCAATGTAAAGCATTGCTGAGATGACTGCTCTCCAGCGCCATCTGGAGACCATGTCTGGGAGTGTGAGTTGTTTATCTGCCTAGCCTCATTTAAAGGTTGTAATGGCTCAGTGTAAAATGCACGTGAAAGGGCAGTGTCACCTCCTGGGGAATCTACTTTCCCTCGCCACTCTGCCTCCTTTAATGCCTTAGCTATTTCTTTGTCCAGGGATTTCTGTCTTCTCCTCGTATCCTTTTCCTCAGCCTTTGTGGGCTTTTTAGATGCTAGGGCTTTTGCCCTGATTTGGGCTGCTGCTCTTGTCACCACTGATTTAGGCTTTGAGGAGCATTTTGGTGGAGCCTGAGGCTGTGGTGACAAACACAGTTCAGTCACACTTACAGACACTGGACGGTTCCCAGTAGTCACGGAGGCTTCCATTCTGCTGGAGCCGATTCCTAAAGAGGCAGAGGCATTTAGAAATTCTGCTGACATCAAGAGTGTGCACTAGTAGACCGGGCAGTGACTCTAGCCCCCTTCACAGCTGTGGGAAGATCTGAGGGACTTCGGTCCGCTTTTTTGGACTGGATCTAAGGTGGCTATGCTGGTCGGAACCAGGGAGCCTGCCTGACAATTCACTCCAGCTGGGAGTGGCTCCTGAAAGGCAGACACATTCGGAAACTCTGCTGCCTTGGCTAACCGAAAGCATCAAAGAGTATGCACAGACCGGGCAGTGACTCTAGCCCCCTCCACAGCCATGGGAAGATCTGAGGGGCCTTGGTCTGCTGTCCTGGACCGGATCTGAGATGGCTATGCCGGTCAGAACTAGGAATCCTGCCTGTCAGTTTGCATCCTCAGCGAAGTGCTGGAGGAAGCCGTTGTTTCCCTGTCCAAAAAAGAACCGAATTTATAGTGTAAATGAATTTACGTTTGCTTGATTCATTTTTGCA